ATTAGACACATTCATCGAAGCTTGCTGAACGTTTACAAAAACTAAACTCTAGCACAGCACTGGCGACAGCAATATTTATTAAAATTGGATACGCTCCGCTGATTTTTATGGGCACAGATTACATGGTCTTGTTCATCAAAAATGCTAGTGGTGACTAGGCAAAAAAACAAAAACAAAAAAAACAGAACACACGTGGCCCCGCGCGCACACACTCACACTCATAGAGGAGACGGTACATCAATAACTAACGAGAAAAATATTCGTTTTACACAATAGATATATAGTAATGGTCATGGTTATATAAGTCAACATTCGGCACTCATTGACCGAACAGCCAGTAATACTTAATTTCCATTAAAACAATTTTTCTGTAAATTAGGTTTCTCATGTCCTGTATTTGTTATCACTCTTTCCACTATAGATAGGGGTTTCCTTTCTAACCTTTTGTTTGAAGTAGTGTGTAATGTCAGCATCTTGAGTATGTAATTATTTTCTCTTTAAGTGACATGTGCTATCCTATTTAATTGTTTCAGTTTTTGAAAGTCTTCAAGTGATGTCGTTTCTGCCATTTGGTACAGTACTTTGTGATTCTATAGCACCAGTTTACGGCTCGAAGATAAAAAGTTCTTGCTACATGCTTCATTTGCTTGAAGCCGTTTTAAATCATTGATTAGAGAAAGCGGTTGTATACAGCTGACACTTTAGATATTTCTTGTGTTGAGTACCATACATGACATCCATGTGAATGTCTCGATCTGACGAGGCTATTTAAGAAAATATTACTCGAGTTTTATGGTTATTTTGGGCGATTGTAGCAATTTGCGGTGTTGGACAAAACTACTCATAGTACAACTTGTTCTATGTTGAATTTCCTTTTCTCCTTTACTAAATTTCTTATAAGTGATCCATGCAAGGAGGCACCTAAAATTTTTACGATTGATTAATTCCATATTCTGAACTTTTATGATGGATTCAGGGTAGATGCCATCATTTCATTCATTCCAATGCTTAACAATTGATTACACAAAATCGAACAATTTATTCCGAAGATTTCAGATAAAAATTTAGCGAATAACTACGTATTAGGACATGAAATTATTGATAAAATCTCATATATATATATATTTGCAAAGACTCTTTTGTGGAGTTATGGAGAAAGAAAAAAAAAATAATGGTCAAACACGTTCAAGCAATTTTTACCTGTAATCAATAAAGAAAGATCCGTAAACTCTTGCTGATCGCAACATCATCGAAACATTTGTGCTTGAGTGAGACTTACCCCCCGTTTCTCTTGTTATTTGTTATTTTAATTAAAAAAGAAATAATTATATATCATTTTTCTTTTCTTCTATTTTTCAATTCGAATATGGTAATGACTTTATTTCTGGCCAACACACTTCCCCAAACAAAGAACCAAATATCTGCAGTGCTTTTGGAATCTCTCTTGGTCAGGTCGATAATTTTTCATCATTTCCTCGCGGGTACAAAAATAACCCCCCAAAAAAGACAATATGGATGTTAGGATGATTGTTTTGCAGCAATGTTTTTAAACCAAAGGTGTCTGTAAATCATCAAGTCAACATCCACTATCTCAGTTATTTTATAAGTTTAAACACCCAGTGCGATTACTCGTTGGAAGTACACCATAGACTCAATTAATAAATCCTCCCTCCACCTCCTTCGCACACACACACACACACACACACAAGCACATATTAATTGGAAACTTAACAGGAACAAATCCGTTTTGCATTTTCTTCCAGGCTTCCCACTTTAACAGTTATTTCATAAAAATGCGTCTGCACAAACCTTTACCACTAAAATCAAATCTTTTGAATGGATTGTCTGGCTGGTCGTTCCTAAAATAAACAGTTGGCAACTTATTTTAGCAGATCATCGGAAGAATCCTTATGGAATTAACGATATATAAATTTTTATATATCAAGAGCAGTTTTTGAAGAAAGATATATGGCAAAATATAAAAAAGATTTTGCGGACTAGTTTTGTCTTGTCACATCAACGTAAACAAACCCGATGATGACCATGAGATGAAATGCGTCGCCTGAAAACTTTTACACATTGTCATACTTTTTCAATATATCAATCAACACATGGACGAAACCACAATGATAGTCCGCCCTTGCTGCATGAAAATTTCCAAGTAACGACAAACTCGTATATACGAGACGCGGTAGCGAAAATCGTGTCGCAGCTCGTGACGTCATACATGACCATGCGAGACTGAAAAACTAGAAGTATTAAGTATGGGAAGCCGTTGGTATAAACCAATGGCTTCTGTTATAAATTATAGGCATTTAAGGATATTTGTGGAGATTTCATAGGTTATTTTGTTCAGGTTAGGTTTCAACTGTTTTACGTATAAAGCTTCAAGAATTTTTAATTTTTGTTTATTGTTTTCATGTTTAAGTATAGTTGTGTTGTCAACAAGGATTCTCCAGAATTGAGTACGCGGGCAGACATGTTGTTTTAAATGTCTAAAAATGTTAGAGTTATCATTTAAATGTAGAGTGAAGCGCCGTGAAAGCGAGTCTGTGGTGTGACATATATATATTAAGGAACAAGTAAAACATTATGAATTTAACATGTTTCACAATTTCGCTTCAGCAAAATTTTAATGTCTAATCGTGTAGAGTTGCTTTCGATTTTTAAATTCTGTTGATTTTTCTTATTGGACGTCACGTGTTCACAGCATCGTGCTAGTATACATGTATACATGAGTCACTTGTTGTGTATCACTTGTTTACTTCACTGTCTCTGGAGTCTAATTCTTGAAATGTAATTCAAAAATGTGTATCTAAAAATGGGGTTTGTTATTGTATTTTAATTGCGTGACAAATATAGATAATATTGGAAATGAATTTGTAATACGAGATTACTTCATCTGCAAATATCATTACAATTTCAAGGAGATAAAGCCACTAAAATGCAAGAAATATCACTAATGAGAAAAAAAATTAAACAGAACAATATTCAAGGAAGCGGAAGATGGTGATTTATATTGCATTCAAACTTTTGAAGATTATGGGTTACAGGCACATCACGTTAAGCAACGTCGAGCCTGGTCAGTACCTAGATGGGTGATTGCTTGTGTATACCAGTTGCTGTAAGCTTGGATTTACGTGTGGTGTAATGGATAATGGCTCAGAATTGTTAATTCCCGCTGGCTTCATTATATTCACACACGCACATCCCGTTGAGAAAAGTATGAATCCTCTTCTTCTCCCCCAGCTATGGGTTAATTAGTAAGAGTTCTCTTGCTAAAACATTATTATTGCATAAACATATTTTCCGGCTTTAAATCGAACGAATCAATCAGTCAAGTTAAGATTGCAGTTGACAGTAAAGCAAGAAGCTGGAAATGGTTCCACAGATGAAAAGTGCGAGAAAAGAAGCTATTAGAACTTATGGTTGCAATATATTCAGCAATTTCCATGGTAAAATTATGAGACCTAACAGCTGATGTAGTATTGCTCTTAAATTCCCAAATCAAAGAATTCTTTAAGTATAGGCTTTACGACGATTGTTGAAATGAAGAAGTGTTTTACGAGTATTTATTGCCTATCAGTTTTTTTTTATTAATAATCTTTCGATGTATAATACGATGTGTTCATTTGTTTTAAGTCTTCTTTTAAACTAGTTCACCCCGAGCAAGGCAGTAAACCAACTCAGACACAATGGGTGACTGGGTGTGGAAGAGCTAAAAACTGAAACAATTGCTAGGGTGTGAGAACAGAGGAAAAGTAATCAGGCGGACAGCAGATAGCGATTGACATTGTATTTAAATTTGTGTTGATCAAAGTTGGCTGGAAAGCATGGAGCCAAAATGGAGTTCCGCAATTGAGAAGTGCGAGAAAAAACTGTTAGCATAGAACTTACGGCAACATCTAGCTAGCTCAACAGTAAATTGATGAGACACCGACGCCAGTTTAATTCGAAGAGTTTAGACACCATAGCAAAGAGCTCATCCGAACAATTAGCATGAAATATTTTATAGAAAAGGCAAAGGGGGCAACCTTACAGCAAAGGGAAAGTGACTGAAGCCGAGACGCCAGATCAGGACCATTAATAATGCTGATTCTTCTTTGGATTTCATCACATATAGCCTGTTTTGTTTCGCCACTAGTACGCAGGGTGTGGGGCGGTTACAGGGAGTGAAAGTGAAAAAGAAGACTGAGTATAGCGAGGATTGAAGAAAGGACAAAAGATGAAGATGGCGATTGACGTTGCATTTAAATTTTTGAAGATTGTAATTATCAAGGAAGCCAGTAAAAGGAAGGGATTTCTGCAAGCGGGAAGTACGAGAAAAGAAACCGTTGGAGTAAAAGTGGCGGGTGCAGTTAGCTATTTCACCAGTAAAAGGGTGGGACCTAGATGCCAATCTAAAGGCACGCTTAAATTCATGTAGTCACCTACGTGTCTCGGGATACATATTCTGAAAGATTTATAATTAATCCTGTTGCTATGATGGGAATAAAATAAACTACAGAATTTTTATTAATTGGGTGAACTTTGTCTAATAAAAAGCATAAAGAAAAATTATTGATATTTTGAACACATATCTGAATTTTTTTTTAAATTCCAGTTTATAAAAATTGCTTTTGTAAAACTCTCTTTCCTTTTCATTTCAATTTTTTTTTCGTTGTTTTTGTTTCCCTTTGAAAAATTTATTTGCTATTTTGTTGGGTAACACCGGCCTTTCCCATGGCAACTCTCGCCAAAAATAAATAAATCAATAAAATGCCACTAAGTATTTTTTTTCTTTATCTCTGAAGTGTCAATATTTTTATTTTGAACTGGGTCAAGTGCTTTCAAGAAAGATATTCTATTCTTATTTATCAAACTCAAAATAAAAGTGCCCTTATCATTCCGTTACTTAACTTGTTGACTAAAAAATGAATAAACAGGAACCTGACAAATATTTGTTTTCATAAATTGTTTGTTTTATTTGACAATACCAATAACCTCTTGAAAAAGAAGGCTTACGGCCATATCACGTTGAAACACCGGTTCCCGTACGATCAGCGAAGTTAAGCATCGTCGAGACTGGCCAGTACCTAGATAAGGGACCGCTTGTAAATACCACGTATTGTAAGCTTAGATGTGCGGGTGTTCGGAATTGGAAAGCCGAGTTCAAATTTCAGTCAGGTTCATTATATTCACTTACACTCGTGGAAGGCGCGACTACACCCCCCTCCTCACCACTTCTAGGTTAAATAGTAGGACTCGCACTAGTAAATCATTATTACCCAACATCCCCCCCAAATTCTTACAATTAAAAAATATTTTCTGATTTTAAATAACCCACAAAAAGTCGAATAAAAAAAAACCCAAAAAACAAATCAATCAAAATATCCTGAAAGAGAATTTAGAAATAAAAACACCTTTTTAAAAACAATAGAAAAAAACAAATAATTATCATTATTTTTAAATATATTTCCTACAAGAAGGAATAATTCTAAGTTTAAAATGAGCAGAGACGTTTTGGTGTTGACCTTTTAAGCAAAATTTTAGCAATCATCCAATCAAACAATATCACGATTGTTTCTATCCTTTGGGTAAACCGAAAATATCATTCTCAACATACATTTTTATGAAAACTCGAAGATTCTCAGGAAAACTGAAATCCAGTGGATTTCCTTGACATCATCACAACATCTAGCTCTATCTTCATGGACAAAAAAATCAATCTTTTCAAACTTGTCCGGAATATATCTGAGGCTTGTTGAGTTGCTTGCTACTCCTCTGTACATACTTCATCTTACGAAGGTTATTTTTTCATCGTCAGCATAAAATATTTACAAATGCCAAGATTTTGAAAGCGCTCACACTTTGGAGATTGGCGTAACATATTTTCCCTGTCCCTAATGCAAAATGCACTAATGCAAAATTATGCTAATCAGCTGTCTGTGTTCATGCCTTGCTCAATCCTTCTCTCACTGGAGCTTACTTTAAAGGAGGTACAGACATTCATTTTATTTGAGCATTTCTGAAAAGATTTGCCGTTTGTACATTGCAGGAATCGATAAAACAATTTCAGAACTTTTATAACTTCAAATTTTTCATATTTGTCTCCCTCTATAAGGTTGACTGTTTTTTTTTACTTTTATAACATTAAATTTCAAATCCTTTCCAATACTTTATTCTTTTATTCCTAATTTCTCTTCTTTTTAATCCGTTTAATGCCTTCAGTTATTTACAAATCTTAAATGGCCATTCTGACACAAGGTCAGTACTTTTGTGCACTAACTAAAATTAGATGCTCAAGTGAAAAAGCATTTTTTAAACAATTATTTTTTCGTTATTTCTTTCTTTCTTTCTTTCACTTTACGTTTGTTTCCTCCATTTTTACAATGTATTCTTTCATTTTCTAACTTGTTTTCTTCTACAACTTGCTCTTCTATTTTTTCTTATTTTTAAATTGTTTCCCTTCCCCCTTTTCTTCTTCTTCTTCTTCTTTTTTTTTCTTCTTTTTTTTCCTCTTTTTTTAATTCTTCCCACCCACCTTCGACCTTCCCTTTATTGTCGTTTTGTAGAAGATCTAAAATAAACAGATGTTACAGTCTTAAATACTGGCGATGACAAGCGAGAATTTCAAGGCGGAGTTTTTGCTTCTTCAAACCGCCCCCCCTCCACCCCCGCATTTCACTTACCCAATTATATGTATCCCATTTCCGGTTCCGGGATAGGAATGCTTTCGACATCTGCTCTTCGTGGACGCGCCAAATTTCTTTTCCTTTCCATTTCTTTCTTGTTTTCTTCATTTCTCCCGCGCTCTTTGACATTACAGAATACACTGGTAAATGCTTTCACAAACGCCAGATTTTCACTTCAATACAAGCGCACGGACGCATTAAAAGACTAGCGAGTATTTCGTAAAATAATCCACAAAAAACGTTCATTGATTGATTCTAAACACATGTGTAACGGAAGAGACGGTTTATTCTCCCATTTACATGTCCCCCATTATTGGCATTATTATATCTGTGATATAATAACACCGACATTTCACAGACGGAGCAGAATGGCTGAAAGAATAATGAATGACAAACATACTTTATTTTCAGAGAGACGTTTTTAGCAATAAGACATAAAAAAAAAACTATATATACATATATATACGTCTCTCACGCGGAAAATAATATACCATATATATCTACACACCAAAGCAGAGTGTAAGGAAAAACAAAAAGGAACACTCTTATAATATGGAGATACTCCTGTATCTGAAGAAGACATGTTTAAGGCTCCGGATTCAAACAGGTCTCATTCATTTGCTATGTCCCAGCCGAGAATATATTCCACGAAGGGGAAACAGCGAGGCTTTGGGTTTCCCCAAATTGAGGACTACGAGTGAGAGTTTCTTTCTATACCCGGGAAAGATATATTGGCAAAGGGAAAAGGCACCATGTGCTTGTAAGCTGCTGGGTGAGGAAGATTTATCCTACGCTCGGGCCATTTAGCCCAGATTAAAAAAAACAAAAATAACGACGGCTCTGGCTGCTGTAAAAAAACTGAAATTGATTGATACTTCGTCACTGTATGGCGTGACGTCATTAAGCTGCCGTCATGGGAACCATGTGATTTATCTCCGCCAAAAGGAGATAATCGCCTTCTGTATCCCTACACGTGTGTAGAGTTGCTGCACAGAATATCCGAAACAGAATACAAATTCATGCTGGCAGTTTTTGTACGCACTTCGTACCGACTTTAAAGGCATGATCCACTTCTGAATATATATGCAAATGATACAACAGTATACGGGAGCACCTGCAAAAATGTAAAAATGTAGATGTTCTGAGCCAAGCAGATGATCTTTGCTTTGACTTAGCTCAGTCGGAGCAAAACTGGCTGGTCGCATTCAATACCACAAAACCCAAACTAGTTACATTCCATTGTCACCGAGCAAAATCCCTGAATTCTCGTCTGTGCCAATGAACGGGGTGTCTCTGAAGGGGTCTCCTTGACTAGTTCTATTGTGGCCTGAGGTCCCAACACGCTTGAACATCTATTGAGACCCTAGGCCCAACTAGAACTCGTATATATGACCCATTGCTAAAGATGCTGGAAAAATGGTCGGTTCTCTGTACCACTCCAGTAGGTACCTGACTCCTCTTGGTATGCTCTAGATTTTCAAGAGCCAGAGTAAAAATGAAGTACAACTAGAGCTACACAATCATCAATGTCCACTGATGATAGAGTCCAAAGGCATCTTTCAGCAGATGAACTTTTGCTTGGTAATTTACTCTACGGATGTTTTTTTTAATCATTTCATTTAATAATAATGACCCTATACTATCTTACCGATTTCAATACTAACCGCCCGCTAAAGATCGTTTAATTACTAAAGATTCTTAATACATTTTCTTAAGTTTGTATTTGACGTTGTTTATTCATTACATTCATATATTGTTTTGCAATAACGAGAAATATAAAACATTAGATGAAAATCTTTTAATATTTTCATGGATATAACATATCAGCTATTTTAAAATATGAACCTCGCGTCCTACACGGTAAAGATTTAGGTTAAAGTTTAGGTTGTACAATTTTAATTCGAATGAAGCAGGAGCTAAAAAATATTAAATTTTCAAATATACTTCATGTTTAATTCCGGGCACATCCTACATACCGACTTGATTTAAATTTATGTTCCTTATAAATTTAGTCGGGATTTTTTAGATAAGGGATTATCATTATTATACTAATATAACTAATCGGACCGATATACTAATCATGGTGATTGTACTCACAACGTTTCGGGCGTTGTATCCTTCGACAATCTTCAGATGTCTGTCTTCATACTCAGTAAATTTCTTTGAATTTTGAACCGAATCCTTTATTCAGTCCACGGGTATAGATTGTTTACGTTCTGCTTTCCATGTTTAGGGAATATAATTCGCATCAGTAACTTATTCTAGTATTCACCAGTCTTGTTCACATTTATATCGCTTGTCCGTTTATTTTAATAAACAAAAGCATGTAACTTTTCAGCAGTACCCGACTCAGTGATCGAACTTACAATTACCAAAGAACCAAATATGTTTGACAAACGCTTAAATCCACTACTTGGTTTATTGGTTGATTTTTTTTTTAGTGACATATCAACTTCTATGAATTATTTAATGCCGAAATCTAAATAATTTGGCCACAATTTTATGGCTTCAACTAAATTTATTTTGAACGCAATTCTATGCCTTCAACTCCAGATAAAAGCGCTTGCTGGTCATTTTGCTTTAAAGATGAATTGTTGGTCCTTTTTTTTATATAAAAATGTATTTTTATTATTAAAATGCATTTTTATACTTTCATAGTGTTTTATTTGGGGGTTCACTATTTGTCCATAGCTGAGACCTTAACATGTGCTACCACCTCAGATCATGGTGGACCTGGTGACAGCAATTAAAAGGTGGTTACACGCTTCTCATAACCTCTGATCTCTCAATCTGCTGCTGGATGTAATTTATCATCATACCCAGGGCTATAAATCAACTAGTAGATTAACATAAAATATTTTCACGTTTTATTTTACATGACGAAGCCTTACCAAATAAGAAACGAAGGGCTAACCAAGTAGATCCATTCAGATTTACCTACATAACTATATTCTTTAAGATGTGTGCATTGCATAGTGGCTATCGACGCTGAAAGCGGGGTTGATGTGTCGAGTTCAAATTCCAACCGAGGTCGTTGCGTTCACTTCCACACAAATCCCTTTGGAAATGCATGATTTCATCTCTTCTCTCTCTCCAGCAGCGATGATCTGGGACTTTTAACAGGGTATGGCAACCACTTTAGGAGAGCAAACGATTTGGTGTGGGGCTAGAAACTTCACCCCGTAAAAGCCCAGTTCCCATACAGGGAATCTACAAGGTTAACAACATCACTACCATATTCTTTATTATTCCAATCCCATATTCCTCTGTCATGTTTGCTTATGTTTGCACCAATAGCATTAGAATTAAGAGTCTTCGATTTTCTAAAATGAACCATTGTTACCTTTTATTTAACTATTGGTTCAGTAGTGAACTTTTCCTTTAGTATTTATCTCCCAAAGATTTATTTTTAGCAACAACAAAAATAAAATAAAAAAAAT